AAAATGTCCATCTTGAAATGGACTTCTCAATAAGTGGTTCCAAACAAACCCTAAATCATATGAACTGGATGTGATGTAGCAACAAGTAACATATATATAATTTAATAGAAGTGCAATTTCAAATCTCAAAGTAACTACCAAAAAAAAAAATCTATATATTTTCAATTCAACTTTCTTCATCAATATTGTGCATTGGAGTGATAATAAAATTTATTTATCTACACTATGCCACGTCATAATTAGCATTGGAGTGTTAATATAATATTATATGGTTAATTAGTTTTTTTATGTGGACAGTGGCCACTCTTAACAAACGCCACATTTTTAGGCCACTATTTAATGCTGGTTGTTTTTGAAGAAAAAAAAAAATCTATAAATAGCATGTAATTAATGTTTGACCAGAATTTGACTTGCCATTTTTTAAAAATGGTAATTCTTATTATATATATATATATATATATATATATATATATATATAGATAAACGAGTGGAACTCGAGCTTGAACTGAATCGATTTCGGCTCATTAAGCACTAGAACTCGACTCAGCTCATCCACACCATTAGACATAATGCATAGTGTTAGGTAGAAATGTTCAGTGAAGCCTTTCAAGTCGAATGCATACAATCCGACTATGGAAGCATATTATGAATCATTCAATGCGTTTGTTAGCAATCCCCTTACGGGTGCCTTGGAGTATCAACAATGCTTTGGGTCTCTTTTTGTATATGTGACATATAATTGGACTTGGGTCTTAAATGATATGGACAAATTCAAAAAACTCAAAAACTTTGCAATGCAAAAATAAAAATACTAGGTCTAGCATACATGTCAACCAATAAAATGCTCTAATATGTTTTATTCATTAAAAGAAAAATTAAATTAAGAACAAATGATGAGTGTTTGAGTTTGTACTTGGGTCCAAAATAGACCCAAGTGTGGACTTGGTCTCTTTTTTTCATTGCCACATAAGCTAGACCATGTCCACTTTTAATTGCATTGGAAATTATTTTTTTTATAGACCAGGTCTATTTCACATGTGGCATGTAATTTTTTGTTAAGAGACCCAAAGCATTGTGGGTGATTTTATGCTGTCGAATTCGAAATCCAAGGCAACTAGTAAAGTGTTGTTGAATTCGAATTCCAAAGCGTGAAAGGCCTTAACTAGTTAAGTATGAATGTACGAATCCTCCCTATCAATGGTCGAGGAGAGAGGGACGACTCTAACAATATATAGCGCATGATTGATTCATCAGTCTAAACGAGTCAATTTCAATTAACTAGTGCGTGGCTCGTGCGATGCACGGGAAAACAATATTACGATTGTATTATAAATAAAATATATAAATAAAATTAATCATAATTTATCTATTGTTTTTAAATTGAACCGGGTTCGACACAATCCGACTGAATATATCGAGAACGGGTTTATAACCAGTCAGTTCGCTTGAATAAAATATTTGCTATTCAATTCGTCAACACCAGTCGGTTGAATTGGTAGGATTGATACGATTTCTAAATAAATTTTGCTATATTTAAATAAAATTACACATTTAAATAAAATAGAGATTTATAAATTATCTATCAATTAGTTTAAACATTTTAATTTATAAATTGTTTAGATATTTAAGTAACACATTTTATTTAAAGTTATTACAAAACTACTATTTATATATTTATTAAAATGTTTATAGATTAAAATCTGAACAAACGACAAATGATTTAATAAAATAACTTAATCGATTCGATGACGGTCCGGTTCTGAAAAACTTATATTTACTGTACGTTAACAAACATCATAATAATATATTATTTAATTCACATAAATTAATAAAATGATATATAAATATTCATAAATCATTAAACATGTTGTCATAAAAATATTGTTAATACGATTATTTGAAGTTTGGACTACATCACATTCACGTAATAAAGTATTTTTAATATTAAAATTTATATTTAGGTTCAATAATCGATTTGGTCTGGTCAAACTGATACATAACTTAGACACCTGAGACCAACCAAGTTGTGTCAAGTTTTTTGACTATTTTAAATATCACCTAAAATTAATTCAATCAACCCTAATTCAATCACCCGATTGATCCAAAGAAATTTCCTTATTTCCTTTAAATATATTTAATTTTATGAAATAAAAATATTTTATGATTCATATAATAAATGTCTACCAAATGATATTAAGATTATAAATTATATATCTAAAGATGAATTAATTATTTTTATTTTATGCATATTAATAGAAAATAAATATAGTAATTTTCAAAAAAATAAGATTAATTTATTGATTAAGCAATTTAAAGAATATTTTTAGCATTCAATATTTTTTTAAAGGAACAAATATAAAGACCGAGATTCTAAAACTTTTGTTATATTTTCAATTGAGATTTCATAAATATAAAGACCGATATTTTAATGTTATTCGTTGTTTCTAAGAAAAAATTAAAAATAAAAACATGCACACATAATAAATCTTCCCCGGAATTTTAAATAATAAAATTAACTAAAGCCCAAAATTTAAGGTAACATTTAATGTTGTATGATTTTTAAAGAACAAAATAAGAAAAATAATAAAACTTACTATTTATAGGCTACATTAAATTTTGACCCATTGTTTTCAATACCGTACCTTACCGGTAATACCGCATACCGGCTATTGGTACGGTATAATTGTACACAGAATACCGGATTTACGGTTATACCGGTTTGTATCGGAGTCATACCGTAAATACCGAAAAATACCGGTCCAAAATACCGGTCATCAAAAAATAAATAAATAGAAAAAAAATTATTAATTTAAAGATATAAAATTTAAATTGGTAGTTAGAATATTTTATTTTTATCTCATTGGTAAGTTAAATTAATGATTATGGTCATTTATTTTTTTATTTTTTTGCATTTGGTATTATACATTTTTATATATAAATATATATATCATTATATTAGTTAGTCTGTAATACCACCGATATTACCGGTCCGACCGGTAATACCGCGTATCGATGGCTAGACCGGTATAGCCACCGGTACGGTATTTAAAACACTGTTTTGACCTATTTGTTTGCTACTATATTTAATAAATAGTAATTCTTATTATATTATATAGATTCTATTCGAAAATTAAGTTATTTATATTGAGTTCCATATGCTAATACATATAATACGTAATCAATTGTGGCATTGGAAAATATATAATGGATTAAACCTAAAATATACATTTTTTATATTTTTTGTAATAATATTTTATTATTTTAATAATACATATTTTCACTTAAACAAATTGTAAAAATTTTGAAAATCAAACTCAATATTTCCAAAAATATTGAATGTTATTTATGAAGAAATGTGAATCACAATCATGATTTCTTATAAAGATAAATTTAAAGTTCAATTATTATAGTGGCACTAATAAATAACTAATGAGTTATAAAATATGTATACATATTTGTTCAATTTACTCATCAGTATCTTCATGATCTATATTAATTTTTATATATTGTTTATCCAACAGGTAATGTTCTATATATTTATATTGGTTCGAGTTCAAATAAAAAACTGAAAGGTCAAAAAAATAAATATGATAATTTGAATTAGAAGTAAACAACTTGGTCTTGGTGCCACTAAATCACTTTATTAATTTGTATAACTAATTTTAATTTGGTGATAAATTTTAAGGGAGTATTGTAATTATTATTCCCAATGCATTGAATCCAAAAGTTTCATCATAAGTAATATAGTTTATTTATTATACTTAAATGCAAGCAAATGACCAGTCATTTTGACATTAGAAAAATATTGTTAAAGACAACTTAATTATAGCAATTAATACATATCTTAGGCGGGAAAACAGCTCTTGAGTAAGCTGCTTTGCATTAATATGTATATAGATTAGGTCACTGATTATGAATTTGTCCAAGCCAGTTGGACAATTTATGAGTTTATGTATGTCTAACCATTTCTAAATTTAATGAAGCACGATTTTTCTAATAAGGCGAGTAAAACTTACAAAATAAAAATAAAAAAATGAGCGAGCGTATGGCCTAATTCGTTGACATATAAATTTAATATTATATTTAATTATTTAAAATACAATGTAAAAATGTAAGCAATTTTGGATGGAGGATTAATATTTCGTTACTTATTTTCTTCCTTTTATTTTTCATATAATTAAGAATAATCATACTTCACCTTTTCTCCTCTCAAGTTTGATCAAATAAGCGAATACCTATTTCACTTATGTCTTACATTTTACCCATCACCATCTTTTGTTTAACTAAACTAGTATTCGATCCTGTGTATTTGTACAGATATAAAACACTTTTTTGTTTGTAATTGTTAATTAGACATGTACTTCTATCATATAAAAATTATTACTTTTTCTTAAGTTATTTTTATTATTCAAAATTAATTGAGATTTTAAATTTTATTTTAACCATGCAACGTTTACATTAGTAATATGAATAAAATAATTTATATATTTGTGGCATATATTAAGAAAATTAACATAAATAAAAAAATTATTGGTGTTTCTGATTTTTATAAAAAAAAAATGTGCCAATCATATTTTTTTTCCAACAATGCAATCAAATATAGCGGTTACAGCTCTGAATGTGTCAATCAACTTTAAGTTCCAGCATTAGCCGTTACACATTTGAATATTTTGCTACCAAATTTAGAATTAATTTAGTAAATGATCCAAAAAATAAATAATAAAAATATATGTATTAAGGTGTAACGATTTTAGTAGATTAGTGAGTAATTAATTAAAAAATTGTAACTCATTCAGAAGAGAAATGAAAGTAAATTTTATTAAATATTTTATTAAATGCATCAACCAGTAATTATAGATATATATAGATTATCTAGAAAATGAAATGAGACAATCGAGGAAATTTATTTTTATTTATTAATTAAACATTTTTTGAATAAAAAAACTCAAATATAAAATATAAAACTGCGCGGGTCATCCAAAATCCAATCATGCCTCATTTTGAAATCGGGTTATATTTTGCTCCACCACGGAAGCTTTCGTCAAGCTGGACTAAGCCCTCTCTGAGCTCATGGCCGGCGACGCGGCTGAGTGCAAGCTGGCAGCTTGTTGCATATCGCACGAGTTTTACAAAGCCGCCTTGAAACACCCCGATAAAATCTCCGTCATACACGCCTCCGGATTTGCTCGGAGCACCGGGGATTTGTTGGACGGCGATCGACAGCCACGTGATGGCTGTAGCAAATTGACGGCGTCTTCGTCCCGGCCACCGGTCTACGAAGGTGACGAGTGCTTCACTTTCTCTGCTATTCATTCCGCCGTCGAGAAGCTCAGTTCTCGACTATGGCTCATTCTTCACGCCGGGGATGATTCACGTCTATTGAAAACCGAGCCAGGTAGGAATTCTCTGTTCGTGTTGTTACTTGTACTTTGAAATATGTTTCATGTTTGTTTTTGCAGTCTATACGGTGCTATGTGAAGAAGAATTTGGCGTCGGAATTGTGAAAACATGATAGTTGGGAAACAACTGATAGTGCAGCTTGGATTTGTTTTTTATACATATGCATATTAAATTGATGTAGTTACCTGGTGGGTGTTCTGTTTACGGATAGGAGCTTATGGTGGTTTATACATTGTTACAAGTTTTTTCGAAGAATGTAAGAGAATTTACTATTTAACTGAAATTAAATTGGTGAGGAAGAACTGAAGAAGAGAGAGTTACTCTTTGGGAACAGTATAGAAAAATCATAAGAAGTGACCTGCTGCTAAATGATTCTGGTTCCAGAAAATAAAAGGTGGAATGAGACCTTTAATTGACACTTGGCTCTTTTCTCTTCAACCTTGTTCAGTGGCTAATTGGATAATATATACATATCTATAATTAAATTCTAAATTGAAAGTGTGAAAGTAGTTTTTGCTCTCTTGTTAAGCAGCATAACTGGCAGAACTTGACCAGGCAAAGTGGTTGTTGTCTTGAAACCTGAGAGGGTCAGGCTGACGTATTTTGAGTTCTTTGGCGGTGTGCGTATTTTTTTTTTTTTTTCATGAATGGTGAAAATATGCAGTACATATGATGTTTAAAGTTTGTTGTTACTCCCTTTCAGTTAGCTAGATCTTTTACTTTTGCAGTTAACGTGTTTAGGGATAACTCAGAACACGTCGCTAAATCGTTGCAATATTCAAGTCAAAGTGTACAGCATTCCTCCAAGTTCAGAAAATCTCGCATCCCAAAGGTGGTAGGGATATATATGGAGCCATCAGTCGATTACATTGTGGCCGTCCTTTCTGTTTTAAGATGTGGGGAAGCATTCATGCCTTTGGATCCCTCATGGCCAAAATCAAGGATACTATCAGTTATATCATCTTCTAAAGCTGATCTAATCGTCGGGTTTGGACTGTCATCTGAGGGTAACTGTTGTCACAAGATTGATAATCTGAAATGGCTTATTGATGATGGAAGTTGCCCTGTTTTACATTTTTCTATGAATGAAACTATCAAGGAACAATCTCAGTCATTACTATTAGGGTGGCCTTGTGAAAGTGAAGGCTTGAGATCGTTTTGTTACTTGATGTACACTTCAGGATCTAGCGGAAAGCCTAAAGGTGTATGTGGCACTGAAACAGGTGACATATCGTGTCAGTTTCATTACCATCAAGCTTGATATTTCATATTATTTCCATGCCTCCATATGACTTCTCTTTATCTATCTACCCTTTCAAAATTCACGTTTCTGATTTCTCAATCGTGACAGTGTCCTTAGGCCAGCATGTTTCTATTGTAGGTCTTCTTAATCGTTTTTCATGGATGCAAGAAATGTATCCTCTACATGAAGGGGATGTAGTGCTTTTCAAAACAGCTGTAGGCTTCATCGATCATATGCAAGAGTTTCTTGGAGCTCTACTCTCGACTTGTACGTTGGTGATACCTCCTTTCAATCAGCTAAAAGAAAATCTGTATAGTGTCGTAGATTTTTTACAGGTACATGAGAAAAAAGAAGTTGTGGAATGAATCAAACAATATTGTTCTTTCTCATGATGAGAATCAATTCAATTGTTCTCATTTATTTATTATTAGAGTCTGATGGACAACTAAATCATTCTTACCATTTTTTTTTTTCTGCTCATACATTGATTCTACCTGATAAAATATAATTAGCAAGTTATTGGCTTGGAATAATATTTGTATGTCTCTCTCTTGTTGTGCCAGTTGATTGCAGCCTTTTGTAATGTTCACAGTAAATATTCTTAAGAACTGAGAAGTGTGTTTAATGTTTATATATGGTACTTTCTACTGCCAACATCGACATAATGATATTTCAAGAGCGTTGGATACTAATTTTGTTTCTAATTCAAAAAGGATGCTGTGGCTTAGATTTTGTAAATATCCTTTATGTTAATGTGGTTCTGGAGTCTGCATTGGGAAGTTTATAAGAAGTTTAAATTGTGTTTCTAGTGTTAATGCACTTTTCTTTTTCATGGTCGCATAGCTAAATGTTGTCACATCATTGATTCCAGATAATTTTTTTTAGCTCTCTGCTCTCACTTGTGCTTCCTCCATCCCAATTGTAAAACTCCATTCCGAGTTTTTGACGCGCTGTGTTTTGGTGAGAAACGTAGAATTTAAGAAGTTATGAATCATTGCATTATTACCTTAACAGTTATGCTGTGCATATCTTTCAGTCAGTGGGGACTTTGTCCGTCATTTAGTCTTCTCTGATTTCTTTTTTCCAGGGATACTTTATTAACAGGCTTGTAGCTGTTCCATCTTTGATGAGGGCAATTCTTCCATCTTTGCAGAGTCCACGTTCCTTAATAATTCAAGGTTCTTTGAAATTATTAATCCTAAGTGGGGAAGTCTTGCACCTTCCCTTATGCAAGATGCTTTTAGAGTTACTTCCTCGGACTTCAATATTGAATTTGTATGGCAGCACAGAGGTTAGATATTAATACTTTGTTTTTAGTAGTTAATAGTCATTCAAGCTTTTCCTTTATTATTGGGACTGATATCTCCAGCTAAGAAATCTGAGAATAGTGTTCTTTATTAGGGAAAAATGGATAACTCAAACTTCACGAGTCCAATATCTTGAATAGAATTTTGATATTTTTTTTTTTGGTATGTGCTGTACTATTTATTATAATGTTGAATATTCATGTGAAACATGTTAATGTTAGGTGACGGGTGACTGCACATACTTTGATTGCACTAGATTGCCACAAATTCTTGAAAAGGAGGTATTAAGCAGCGTCCCGATTGGCTTGCCTGTCTCAAACTGTGATGTGGTGCTGGTTGGAGAAGAAATAGCATATCAAGGGGAGATTTATGTTGGTGGCGTGTGTGTTGCTGCAGGTTACTTTGACTATCCTCGTCTGATATCGTTAGCAGATGGGGATGTGTCTCCAGAACATGACAACTTTAGTCCCAATAGCGGGTGCAGATTTCAACATTACTTTAGAACAGGTGATTTTGCAAGAAAGCTCCCGAGTGGCGATTTGGTTTTTCTTGGAAGAAAGGACCGTACGGTGAAAGTTAATGGGCAGCGCGTTGCTCTTGAGGAGATTGAGGGTGCATTTCGTGAGCATCCGAATGTGGTTGATGCTGCAGTTTTGTCCCGTGAGGTTGGTGATGAAATATTATTTATTGAAGCCCATGTGGTGAGGGAGGAAACTTTCAGAGATGAAGAGCTTCTGAAATCCTCACTCAGGAATTGGGTCCTAAGAAAGCTTCCGCATGTGATGATACCAAGTCGCATTTTTTTCACTAGGTCACTACCTCTGACACCTTCAGGGAAGGTTGATTATTTGTCGTTAACCGCTTCAGGATCTTCGGATGAAGAGGGGGCATTTAAGGACATTCATCAGGATCACCTCATTGAAGTTATCAAAAAGGTGTCCAATGCAGACTAAGGATATATTACACATGCTCAAACTGGAACACGCATAAGCTGAAAGATATTTCTAACAAAAGAAAAAAGAAAGAAATTTGTAGAAGATAATAATTGTAATCAATTTTACAGTTAAACAGTAGTCTGGTATCCAATTTCTAGCTTCGTTGCTGCGACCGGTGCTACTGTCTTCCTAAGTAGGAAATTACACAATCTGGACGATCTAGTCCCCGTTTCATACATTTTCTTTTTGTCAAATTAAGCTTAGAGTGATATCCTTTGTTTAGAAAATGGTGATAAAACTGGCCTTGATATCATTAGTATGTATTTGGCTTTATCGGATATGAGGAGTGTAGAAAAAGAAACAGTGATGTCTAATTTTTGTCCAGGGTTATCTTCAATTTATGATTGGGGAATACTATACAGTAGACTAGTAGTTCGCTATTTCTCCCTTCATCGGATGCATAATAAAATGATATTGAAATAAAACAGTATTGTTAATGACTATGTCATGATTCTGCATTGGTCTGTTCCATTTGTCAATAAAAAATACTTGAATCTTGAGTTTGCTCCACTTCTGTTGCACATCAAATGCAGCTTTCTCAAAAAATCTTCTTGATTTAATTGTTCAGGTATTCTCCGACGCACTGATGGTTGAGAACGTTTCTGTTGATGACAATTTCTTTGAGATGGGTGGCAGTTCTTTGTCTGCCGCCTACGCCTCCTTCAAGTTGGGTATCCATATGAAGTTGCTGTACACTTTTCCGACTCCATCAAAGCTCCAAATGGCCCTTTTGTCATCTGGATCTTCATTAGGAACTGATGCCTTTTTAGGAGTGAATCTTAGAAAATCAGAAATGGCTCCATCAAGAGAATCAAATATGCCCGATCTCCATGGAAGTAAGCCAAAAGGAATATTATTTGACGCCAACAGTAATAAGGACTTTCACATGCCTAAAAAATTAAAGATTGAGCCAAATACTTGTTCAGGCCATTCAGAGCCAACTTGTGGTGGTATTTTATGGAATCCTAATGTGGTGCATACAGAATGTTCTTTTAGTCGATGCAACACAAGCACACACGTAGGACAATGTGAGGAAAGTTATTCAGGCGACACAGTCTGGTCAAATATACCAAGAGATGGAAAAGGATTTATGCAAGAACTGTGGAAGGTCGACTTGGGCTCTTGTGTTGATGCGTCACCTCTTGTGGTTTGTAAAGGCAGTGATATCTATCTATTCATTGGATCTCACTCTCACAAGTTTTTCTGCATAAATGGCAGAAGGTAAATACTATTTGCGATGGAAATTATGATCATCCTAGTATTACTAGAAGAATTACAATGTATGTTAGCTTTAGCATCCATATCTCTCACTTGATACTAATCCTTTTGTAATGCATTGGAAGATTATATTGTATTTATTTCTGTCACAAATTTATTAGTGAAGCAGTAGCTTCTGGTTTTGTTTTCTTTAGTTTTAGCCTTTTAAGACTTGCTCTTATTGCTTTGTTGCCTATGTTTACCATGGCTAAATCTCAGTCCTACTCTTTTGTATGTTAGATACATACAGAGGCCCTAATGACAGATGGTGACCCAAATACTTGTATCTTTTGTAGTTGTTTCTACTTTCCTATGAAAGCCTTAACAAATAACAGGTCTCAGGACATTGATTATATTTGTTTTCAAGAAATCAGCCAGGCCAAGGAAGTATTGAAATTAACTGTTCTGTATGATAGACTGCTCTCAAAATAATATGCTAACATCTGAATAATTTGAATACACTGATTTCTTTTTGTAATTAATTTTACGTTCACGAGAGAGGTTTTTTTGCATGAAAATTCACTAGATTTGAAATCACTATGGCTTTCTGTATTTGTAGTGGAATTGTTCAGTGGGAGAGTAAACTAGAGGGACGGGTAGAATGCTCAGCCACAATTCTTGATGATCTTTCTCAGGTTTGCACTCACTATAATTTTTTTTTTTTTACAACATGATACCTTTCTTTAAAAAACTTTCCCTTGTTCACATGAGAGTTCTTTAGGTTGTAGTTGGATGTTACGAGGGAAATATTTATTTCCTTCAGTTTTCAAATGGAAATATCTGCTGGAGGTTTCGAACTGATGGTGAGGTATGCTAATAAAAAGCTCTGCTCCTGCATATTAGCAGAATTAATTATATTCTCTTTATACTAGCTGTCATGCTTATCCTGCAAAACGTGAAACCTAGCATCCATTAATCAGAGCAGTTGTTTCAATTCCTCTTTGTCATGTTGCAATTTTCATAATCTATGTGGTTGTAAGTATGGAAACCTATAGTTAATCCACTTACTTTATATTTGTGTTCATTCACTTTCCTGTTCTTTTTTGTCACTCTCTGTTGTCTTTTCTGAATGTTAACGTGAGGTGAAGATAGATTAAAAGAAATGCAATTTTTAATTTTATTTTCAATAATTTGCTTGTGTATGTGGAGATTTGAACTGTCCATATTCTTCATTTCACAGTGCAGTCAAAAATAGTATCACACAGACTTGTCAAATCATGTTTTTGACACCTAATATGTTATTTTTTTGCCTGTTTTTGGAGATTTGAAGGTAAAATCACAGCCAGTCGTTGACAAATGCAGACACTTGGTTTGGTAATGTTTCTCATTAAAATGATTCATACCTTTTATTTTGCACATTAACAAGATTTGTTCCCATGGAAATTATATCCTTTGTTCCATGTGCCAGAGACTGAATTTCAAGTTCTTTGTGTTTCATTATTATTAATTCTTTTTATGCCCGCTTCTCTAGTGATGAGTGCCAATGCATCTTCCGAAAAATGGTTTACACAGACCATTGTGAAAAAGTAAAAAGAAAAGGAAATATTTTTTTGACAACCTGATGCAGTAAATAGTGTTCTGGAAGTTCTTTTGACAGCAACATAGATAATTTGTTCCTTATGATTAAAGACTGATAGAGAATCCATTTTCAGTGTAATTTGTATGATGAACAACTGTAACAGTATTCACTTTAGAATCAGATATTCACGTGTCTTGTAGACTACTAGATTCTGCCCTATTATCTTGAAGCTCTTCCCTACCAATTTTTAATCTCATAACTGTTCTGTCTACTAATTTACTCTTCTTCTTCTTCTTCTTCTTTTTTTTTTCTAGCTACATTTTTGAGGTGTTATAAATTTCCTCATGAAGGAAAAACTGACACCCAATATACCATTTTTCTGGAACTGGGATATTGAGGGCTTGCATTTTTGGAATTTCTGAACTATAGAAGTTTGAAAATTTTTACACAGAAACTGATCTTTTACCAATGGTCTGAGATGGGTTAATTNGTGGATATGGTCATCTACTCTGATCATTTAGTTCTTTGAAACTATCATAAGACCTTTTAACTTAGTTTCTTGCTTTAGACATTGCATTAGCTTGTGTTAACTAATTAAGGCAGAATTATAAGTCATGCACTACATCAAAATAGAGTAAATTGATCAGTTCCATTTGCAAACTCAAGTTTGGTAAAGAGATAGTTCTGTGAGTTGGAGAGAAAAGTCATATCCTCTTGTTTCTTGTGCTTCTTAAAAGAATTTCAGTCTCTATGGCTACCTCACACATATGGCTTTCGTTTTTACTTGAAAGCTAATTAACAGTATCATGAATATGCTGGTCTTGAAAAATTGTATTTTCCACACGTGATTCTCACATACTTTATCCTCTACTCATGCTGCCTTTCTTTTGGTTTTCATTCGAATTTGGTGAAGTGTTGCCTGCTACTGCAGAAATATTTAACAGCAGAAAATAAATGAATAGTGTTTCTTACTTGTGCTGTGCCTCCCTTTGGATAATAAAAACAGTTGCATATAAGAGGGATTCTATCTATGCTTCATGGAAATATTTGGTTTCATAGTAATATGACACGTAAATGTTTCTGCCTCTAAAATTGCACGTGTGCTGCCATATTTGTTTTCATTGGATCATGGGCTTGGATTATGTTTATGTGGTATCTTTCTCACAAACTCACAAGGGCTTGACCTCAGGCAATTGCAACTACCTTTATGGTTATAATTATCCTTGATACATGATTTACATGTTACTGTAGACTCTGCCCTTTAAGACATTGTGGAAGCAAGACATGGGAGCACCTGCTTTTGGGTCACTTTCAATCAATTATTCTGATGGAAACAGTATGTATCATTTCACTTAAACTCAATGTTTAGGCATAGATTAATTATAGTAAACCTGTGGTCATACAGTGGTGAACTTGCGTTTCACATGCCTTTGCATCTGCTGTTGTTTGAGATGTCTAATTCATGACTATTTCTATTTTATGGTCTGCAGTCATTTGTTGCTTGGTGGATGGGACTGTTAATGTCCTCAGTAGCCGTGGCTCCATCATTTGGAAGGTGCAAACTTACTTATCTGCCTACACATGCCATGTATTTCCAAATGGATGTGTACCCTGTGCCTGCATTTTTCTAAGCTCGAGAAAATAAATGTCCTTGAGATATCCTCTTTT